TCTTAAGAGAGAAAGTATGAAGGTTTCACAGTGAGGAAGAGACAAGTTCCGAGAAAGCGATGACTCGAGATGGCCCTGTTCCCAGCTACGTGAGCTCAGGGATGTTTCCCTTTGAGCTCTACTTTCATCCTTTGTCAAAAGCAATGAAAACAGTGGGGAACTAGTTACAGGACATGAAATAACTGGCTGAGTAGGCACAAATGTTTTTCTTCTCCCAGCTCTTCACTGATTTCAGGGCTCTGCCCAGTATACAGCAACCTACAGGCAAATGACCTCCCCTCTCCCCGGCCCTACACAGGCTGCTTTGGCTTCTCCCAACTGGAGCAGCCGAGGACCCCAAACAGGGGACTCTTTGAGTGGTGCCATGAAAGGGAAGTTTGTGCTGCTCTTGGCGCTGCTGGACAGGAGTCCCCTAGAATCAACACCCTCTTGCTTCCTCCTCAGACAGCTTTCTCCACTCCCTTGTTGTTTGTCAAAGGGGAGTAAACAGGGTGGCCTGCTGCTCCCCATTCCGCTTTTACACCTCCTTCTTCTTCCCTTTGTGCTCCTGTGTCTCCAGCATGGCAGCCCTCTGAGCCCTCTGTTGCCTTGTGATTCTTAGGGTGAACACCACACTTTCCACTGGATTATATCCACTCCACCATTCTTACACTTGAGTATGGACTAACTGTCCCTCAGGGCAGTGAGCAGGCCGCCTCATTTTCTTGGATGTTATGATGCACCTAGCATGGAGCTGCTCACCTGATGGGGTCAGGGTACAACTGGGGGAAGGAAACGATTCATTCAAGCATTCATCAAACATCTGTCTCTGACAGGGGTCTTAGTAAGAATCAGAGACACAGAGGGTGGAACCTTGCAGTGCTTGGGAAAATGTTTCAGACTCTTCCCCTAAGGATATCAGCTTCATCTAAGAATATCAGATATTATTGCAGAAAGAAAATATTGTTGGCAATAGGATCTGATATTCTTAGGGGAAGGTGATATCCTTAGGGGAAGAGTCTGAAACATTTTCCCAAGCACTGCAAGGTTCCACCCTCTGTGTCTCTGATTCCTACTAAGACCCCTGTGTTAGATAATTTCTACAACTCATTGTTAAAAGCACATGGTTTGGGCTAGCCTATGGGACATCAGACAAATTACCGAACTACTCCGCCTCCTCTACCGCATCCACCCCACGGGGTTGGGATGAGCATTAGCTAGTGAATGCATGGAGGCCTTAAAATGATGCCAGCTCAGTGAATCCATCCTGTGCACCACTGCTGTGGTAATTTCAGACTGCCCTGCAATTCTTGGAAGTTCTGTAAAGAAAGGGAAGTTGTGCCACAGAGACAAATAGTGACAGAGACACCATAGACACAGACCCTAGCTTTCTGTCCAGTCCTCTGGAGCTGGAGGAAGGTGGAATAGGTGACATTTAGTGACATATCCAAAATCCTGGCACACTGAACATAAGTACAGGGGATGTGATGAGGGTTCGTGGAGGCTCTGAGGAAGCTGAATTTATTTAGAATATCAGTGCTCTGGGAAGCTGAGATGCTGAAGCAGGAAGCAGGGAGCAGAGGTAATGCACAGTCTAACCAATGCCCAGTCTAGCCTGCACTGTGGCTCCTTTGTGAGTAAGAAACATTCACATCCCTGGAGGAAACTGAGCCAAGTGGCATCAGTGCTCCCTCGGTGTAAGTGCTTAAATATCACTGGCTAAAACCGTGGCTGAAGCCATAGGTCTTCATATAGGGAATCAGACTCTGCTTGTAAAAATTCATCCTCAGTGCAACTCAAAGGATGCCTTTGAAAAATTGCCGAATGCCTACTTCTTTTGAATCAGACCTTCTGGGGATTCCAGGAGGAATAAGGTGCACAGAGTGCAGTGGGAGCGGCCTGAAATGCAGTGAGACGGCGCTGTGATACGGGCTTTACAAAGTGTCAAAGTATCAAGGCCATAAAGTACTCAGCCTGCAAGGAAGGTGGCTGATTATAATGCAATGAATGAACAAAGTAATTGTAATTCAGGTACAATATATACTAGGAAGAAAATCAAATCAGGACAGGAAGTGGCCAGAAGGTAGGTGGTCAGGGAAGCCTCTCTGAAGGGATACTGAGCTGAGAATGGACTGGGAAGACCCTGGCTGTGAAGTAGGAGGCATGGACAGCGGCTCTGAGGACAGAAAGGATGTCGGCGTCTTGTAGGGCAAGAGGTGAGAGCCAGGCTGAGAGGAGAACATAATAAAATGTCATACTCTGCTTTTTGCATCCAACACATTGTAAGAACATTTTCTCTGGGAAACATGATTTGTAAACAGTTTAATGACTATTAAAAATAATTGTATCGAAAGAAAAGCTTGCTTTTTACTTTAAAAAAAATCACGGGAGGTACCGCTCGTTAGGGTACACCTCTGGGTTGGACTCACTTCCTGCTCAGGTGCAGCAGGAGGCATAGGGGCTGGGCGGCCCCTCCTGCAGGTGCCCTCATTGCCACTTCTGGGTCTCTGTGGTCAAGGGTCCAAGTGGCAAAGGCCCGTAAGCCAAAGCCTGGAGACTGTGGATATGTCCTATTTCTCACAGAGAATCTGAGCTCCGCAAGCTGTCTGAGGCCTCCACCACCCCTCCTTTCTTGTCCTTTGACTCTCATGACTGCAACAGAAAAAGGGTGTGAACTCTCCGGGGCCCTAGAGCACTTCCCTTGCCTTCCATTTGCATGAATGGGTGATGCTGGCAAGACCTTCTTCCAGGAGGCTGCTCTCCTCTCCCCTCTCCTACCCTGGCTTTTGGCTCCCAGCTTCTCCGGAAAGCCACTGGACTGCACAACTGTTCTCAGCCAACACTTCAGTCTTCAGGGCTGGAGCTGCAGGGTCTGCGGAATTCCTGTCCATACTCGTGTATCCACTTGTTGGCCACTGGGGAGAGAGGGAGGAGACTGCAGGCTCGGCAGGCAGATGGCTGTAACCCTGTGCACACTCGCTCCTGGAGTGTGCACCCTGCCAGCCCCCCACCTACCTAGTCCTGCCACACTGGACAACGAGCTGTTTCTTCTAGAAAACGTTCAATACTGTACACTGGAAACTAATTTTCAAAAGCCTGGGCACTAGAATGAAGGTCAACCTTCATTCTAAAAGCCTGTCTTCATGAAGCCACTCCAGAATAACAAGAGAAAATGCAGTGGCTTCTCCTGACAGCCACCTCAGGATGTGAGCCCTCTTCAGATCCTGTCTTCAGAGCTAAATGCTCTTGGCCACAGACACATCATAACACCCCTCCTCCACCTGCTATGCTTTCTTGTTGGGAAACAGAGGGTTTCACAGTTCTCTGCTTGTAGCACAGGGCAAAAAGAAACCCAGCACCATATTCCCCTTCAGCTCTCGTCAGGAATCAGCTCTCTCTCCTCGGGTCAACAAACCTTTGCTAACACCTGCTCTGGAACAGGCCCCTGCTCTTTACAAGGCTCCCAATCTGCTGTAGGCACCTGACTGGTAACCTGTGCAACTCAGTACAGGGTGGCACCGTAAGGAAGCCTTAGGGTGGGAGGAATGTGCTGTTTCCACCCCTCCCTAGTTCACGTTGCTTTGTACCCTGACCCCATTGTCTTGTCCCCAGAGCCAGGCCTTACCCCACTTATCTCCCACCAGGACAGGACAGCCAGCATGAAGTGTGTCACCATCCCCTTCACCACTCCTGTGCAGGTTCCACCAAAACAGTGCTGCATTCTGAAAACAAGAGGGCCCAGCCCCACGGAGGGTCGGTCCAGAATCTCAGTCCTTGGAATCCATGAGTAAGTAGAAATGCATAACATCACGGTGCAGTTTGGTGCAAGACATGCATAAGGACAGAACAAGGTGCTGGGAGTTGCCATTCACTCATTCATGCATAGCTCACCGACTGAGGGCCTGTTCTGCCAGGCTCAGGGCATCCAGACACAAACTGCGTCCAGTTCTGTTCTCTCCAGCAACTCAGGACACACAGAGATAAAAGACCAGGATAGGACAGTGTGGAGTGCACTGGGAATAAGGTAAGCACAGGTACTGTGGGGCCGTGAGAAGAGATGCCCAACAGTCCCCACAAGGTGGAACAAGACATTCCTCATACAGCCAAGCACTTCGCTAGTTCTGAAGTGCACATTCTTTTAGGTTCTACCAGTACTCAAGAAAGAAGTATCATCAAAATCCCCCTTTCCTAGCCAAAAAAAAAAAAAAAAAAAAAAAAATGGATGTTTAGTGCTTAGTAATCATGTATCTAAGGAAAGTTAGGATTCAAAGCCTGGTGCCCTACTCCAAATGCTCGGTATTCTTTTCCCTCTCTATATTGCTTTTTTTTTTTTTTTGGTCCAATACATTTCCTATGGAATTTGACTTTGGCCATTAGAAGAGACCGAATCTTAAAGCCCTGGACGCACACAGACAGCAGACATTCACTCACTGACTGATCAGGATGTGCCAGGTGTTGCAGTACGTGCTTCTTCATGGGCTTTCCCTCACTTACTCATCTTCATTTTGTCCTGAATTAGGTAAGGCCTGGCAGGGAACTTGAGTCTGAAACTTGGTGGACATATTCAAGCACTGAACAAATCTCTAAGTGGCTGTCCTCTGGGCCTATAGCAGGCTGCTGTTACTGCCTGTTCACTTCTCTATGAGTTCCTGAAGGAAGGAGCCCTGAGCTACTTCTGCACCCTCAGTGCCTCTAGCTCTCAGTGTGGACAGAACTAATGACGCAGGGACCAGCTATTGTAGGGGCTCCAGAGGTCATTCAGAGGGCCTCTGGAGAGCTCCAGTAAGACAAGACAGATATGCACATGCCATCACAGAAGTGCAAATAAAAGAAATAGGGCCATAAGCAATGTGCAGTAGAAATAACAGACTGGGGTTAGCTTTGATTCTGAGAATGAGAGAAGACCTCTTTTTAATGTGCCCCCTCCCCCAGGCATCAGCTTGCAAGCGCAGGCAGTGTGAAGCTCCAGGTGTTAGTTCTGTGTCCTCCGGCCTCCATCATCCAAGGAAGGCCCCACTCACCTTAACCACAGGCACGCTGAAGTTGGCATAGATGAAGGCTGTGGCTCCTCCCGCTTCCACTGAGCTCAGCTACAACATCAGAGGAAGAAGCCAGAGTTCAAACAGCTGCCAAAACCCCTACTCAGCCCTGTGCACATTAACCTGACATTTGAAGTCATTTCTACATAAATTCTCTCCTGTGGCACCCTATTTAGATTTGTGGGAAATCCTTGAAAGGGCTGGTCAACTTCACAGTTCAGGGGATATCTGTAATGACACTGGTGTTTGCCTGTGGGGCCACAAGAGGACAAGACTTTGGAATTGCCTTTTTTTCCCTTCTAGCCAGTGTTTTTACAGAAGGATTCAATAAGGAGATTTAAGCTTTTTTTGACTGAGACGAGAAAAGACACATTTTATACCATGACACAAGACACACACACTGTTGAAGTAAAAGTTTCATAAGGTATTTTTACTACATCAGATACTCTGATATTTTCTATTTTATTCTAGTGCAGTTTTCTTAAATGTTGATCAGACTTACTAAACTAATTTTACAAGCAAGACTCACAGTGGGGTTCCATAAATCACTCAGATCCCCTTTAGGGGATTTTTATCACTGGTGTAGTCTAGGGTTATGGATATCTTCTTACTATGAAGATATTTTTCTGTCAAAGAAATACATAATAATCATAACCATAATTTAAAATTCAAGTATCAAAATAATAGTAATATTAATCATTTATCATCCAGAAAAAAGCAGTTATAGTGTACATAGTAGTAATAGTTGGCATTTATTGAACCTTGACAATATTCTAGGCATTATTAAGACCTTATAAATTTCCTCTGTCTCTTGCTCTTCATAAGAACTCTGTGGGGCTGGGGGTTTAGCTCGCAGCACAAGCACCTGCCTGGCAAGCACAAGGTTGTGAGTTTGATCCTCAGTATCTTCCCCTCAAAACACAAAACTCTGAATTGGGAATGTTACTATTATTCACATTTTATAAATGATGAAATCAAGCCTCAGAGAGATTATTTTATAAAAGGTTATATAACTCTTCAGCGACAGAATTTGAACTGAGCCAGTATTATGTAGCTACTAAACACCTGCTTATAACTATTAAGCTACACTTTTGAATATTTGGGTTACTTCCAACTATTCACTATTACAAACAAATACTGCACTGAACATCTTAATGTTTTGGCATTTCATTTGATTGTGTAGAAAAGAGTCCTAGGATTAGTATTGTTGGGTCAAAAGTACAAGCATAAACTGAATACTTTTGCTATACACTGCTAAATTATTTTCTCACCAGTGACACAAGAATTAGGCTTAGCTCACCCTGCCTAGCCCTACCAGTGGGTTCATGCTCAGTAGTCTGTGGCAATCAAGGCTCCATGTTCACATTTGTTACAAAGAGCAAGAACTATAGGAGTTAGGATGTTGGTGCTTGCTAGAGGAAACCGAAGTGACTGAGAGTCAGAACCTGGAAATGGCAGTGGTGGTTTTCAGCATTTCTTTGTTTCTGTAACTCAACTTGGAAGGCTAATGTGAACAGTTCGCTCCTTGTGTCCAAAGAACTAACAAATTAGATAATTCTGTTGTATCACTGGTGTCAATCACCGTGGTTTCACATTTTATAAATGATGAAATCAAGCCTCAGAAAGATTACTTCATAAAAGGTTATATAACTCTTCGACAACACAACACAACAAGGGCAGTCTTGACTTTCTTGCAATCCTTACCTGTGGTTTTCCAATATTATGGAAAGGAATGTCATCCCAGAAATTTAAGAAGAAAATTTGATTCTACACACTGCTAAGCTCATGAAAAAGGCATAGCTGTGAGACAGTGGGAGGGGAGAGAATTCTTTCCTCTGTACACCTTGTAATGTTTTCTACTGGGTTGATCTTAATCCATCTTGAGCAGAAAATCACTAACCTGATATCAACTGAACCCTCTGCACTTTTTTTGTTCTCTAAAATATTATTCATTTCCCACAAACCTCAATGTTAGCCTCTAGAATTCTAGTGTTTGACGGTTTTTATCCAACCTGAAGATGAAAGAATTGGGCATAGACGAGCACTTGCTAGGTTTCCAATACTGATTCTCCTTGATGAGTCTTTACTTGCTTGGTAGGATAAAGTGACAGAAAATACTGTGTGAAATTTTCCCAAGTCACATCCCCCAGCATTATCTCAGCAGATCCTTATGACAACACTGGGAGGATGTGCCGGGCAAAAAATGAGCTCACATAATTGTAATTTGTGGTGTAGTCCCATAGTGAGAACCAGAATGCGGTTAGGCTCCCTGGCTCTGAAGCCAAAGTGTATTCCACTTCATTCAAATGTTTAAAAGCCAACCACACGTCTGTCTCTCTGTCTCTCTGTATCTCTCTCTGTCTCTGTCTCTCTCTCTTACACACACACACACACACACACACACACACACACACACAGATTTGTCATTTAAAATTGTTGGACTCTTACATTCATGCTATGTATACTATAATAACTGGGCTACTGTAACAGAGAACCAGCCATAGGAGACACTGGAGAGACAAAGAACAGAGTCTGTTGTGCTCCTATATGCTTATATTCTTAGGATGACTGCTACATTTGTCACTGCCTGTGACTCCAGGCCAGCCTGAGTGAGCAAGACAGATGCAGCCAGCTGCAGATGTGAGATGTGCTCTCTGAGCGGACTTCAACTGTCCCTCTGCGCTTGGTCAGGATAATCACAAGCTGCCAGATGTACTTGTAAGTAAGTGGCAGCCGTGGGTTCTGGGGGAAGCACACAGTGGACTTACCAGCATAGAGCATACAGAATGCTGGCCTCTCGTTGCCCTTTCTTGGCTGCACTTTAGAGGCCAGACACATCCCTAAGAGGAAAGGATGTGCTGGGGAGGAGAGTCTAATAGCCTAATGGGCCAGAAAACAGAGCTTCATTTTAAATTGTTACTTAGAGCCCTTATAATTAACATGGTTATCCTTCAGTTAACAGTAATGAATCTCTTCTAACAAGTGGCTGCTTCTAATAATTTCTTCTAAGTGACAGACAATTGGGATTCAGCTTGTTTATGAAGAAGGAAGTAAATTCACACTCTGGTGAGATAACAAGGACCAAGTCTTGTAGGACCAGGCCAGGGATCAGGAAAGGGACGCAAAGTACATCACTGTATTTCTTTGTAAAGAGCCATGATAGAGATTTTACTGAACTTTTTTATTTTTTTGGTACCGGGGATCGAACTCACGACTTAGCACATGCCAGGCAGATGCTTATGCCGCTGAGCTAAATCCCTCTCCCTTAAACATCTTCTTGATAGATGAGGATTTTCACTACGTATCAGAGGCAATAATTCCTGAATTTATCTTTAGGCCTCTGTGCTTTGTTCTCGTCCTTGGAGCCGCCTTATTGCTCTTCTGTCCAATAGCTCCACAATCTCTCACAGATCCATGTTTTTCAATGCTGATTTGACTCACATGGGAGACTCTTGTATCCTCTTCTTGAATTGCTCAAGTCTCATGATCTCTTGGCTTTCAGTGTAACCCCACTTCCCATCCTCTGCCTACACCAAGGTCATTTAGATCTACACACTATAAGCTCTTTGAGGGTGGCAAGTCTGTCCTGTCTTTTATATCTCCTGTAATGCATAAACAAAAATGCTGTCTGAAATTCAAAAACTTCTTAGAAATTTTGTGTTCAGTTATCAGGTAAAATTTGCTTTGAAAACCATAAAATAAGATAGAGTTATCAATAGTCATTAACAATCCCTGGTCCCTCCAGAGTAAAACTCACATAGATCATAAATGTTGCAACTCGGTTCCCAGACTTCATTCTGAACAAGGGGCTGCTTGGTGACTAAGACAAAAATAGAACATATTATTTTATGCAGATGGCAACATAGTGACAGCCAGGATTCCACCATTAATACAGGAAGGGGTAAAATGGGGCACCAAGATTAGGGCACAGCCCTGAGCTACACGAGTGGCATGTGTATTTTTGTGGGCAGGCATGCAACAGCCTTTTTCCAGACACAAATTTAGTAGGTCCTCAGAGGAGTAAACTGTGTACTAACTAGAATTACTTGTTGATAACAAAAGCACTGTATGAGTGGCTAGTTTCACCTCTGAGCTCTCTGTGAAATAAACTGATATATAGAATGTTACAGATAATTATTCTATAGAAATACCAAGTCGGAGGATCAGAGTTCCCAATTATTAGCTAGAGACGTGGTCTTTTTTTCTTGCCATGGAACAATATGAAATATAATTTACATACCATAAATGTGCTATTATAAGAGTACTGTTTGATGCACTTTAGCAACTTTTAACAGCTGTCCAACCATTTCCACAATACATCTGTAGAATATTTCCATCTGCTGAAGAAATTTCTCATGCCTATTTGCAATCAACCCCTGGAAGCCCACTTACCTACCTTGTAGATCTGTAATTTTACCTTTTCTAGAAATTTTACATAGATAGAATGAATAACATGTAGTCTTTTGAGTCTTGCGTCTCTCACTTGCAGACTATTTTAAAGGTTCTTCTATGCTGCTGGACGTGGCAGCAAGTCGTTTGTTTTGATTGGTGAGTACTAAGCCATTGTGCAGATATGCCAAAATTTGTTTACTGAACCACCTGTGGATGGGTTTGAGCTATTTCTAATCTTTGGTTATTAAAAATAAAATTTTAGGCATGTGGTGCACATTTGCAGGCTGAGAGGCTGAGGCAGGAAGTCATAAGTTCAAGCCCAGCCCAGGCCATTTAGAGACTTAGCAAGATCCTTTTCAAAAAATTTTTTTGAAAAAATTTCATAGTTCAGTGTGAAGGCCATGGGTTCAATCCTCAGTACTACTAAATTGATTAATTAATTGGCTGTGAATAAATCGATAAACATTCATGTGCAAGTCTTTATATGGACACATAGTTAACTTTTCTCTTTAGTCAAATATCTTGGATTGAAAAGGCTGAATCATAGTAAGTGCACGTTGAACTTTTTAGGAAATTGCTAAACTCTTTTCCAAGATGGCTATCTGGTTTTACATTCCCACCAGCAATGTGTGACTGTGCCAGCTCCTCCCTGTCTCCACCGACACTTGGTATGATCTGTTTTTCATTTTAGCTATTCTAACAGAAGTTCAGTGCTATTTCACTGTGGTTTTGTGTTTTCATAATGATGTTGAACATCTCTTCACTGAAATGCAAAGGACCTAGAGCAGCCATTTACTTAGCTTCTTTGAGGTGCCTATTCAATAATGTTTTGCCCATTTAAATTTGTTTATCTTATTACTGAGCTATAAAAGTTTTAAATATATTTGGGATACAAACTCTTTTTTTGAGACAGGGTCTCTCTAAGCAGTTCAGGCTGGTCTTGAGCTCACTTTGTAGCCCAGGCTGGTTTCGAACTTGCAAAGATCCCCCTGCCTCAGCGTATTGAGTGCTGGGATTACTGGCGTGAGCCACTATGCCTGGCTAGGATATATGCTCTTTATCAGATATATGCTTTTTTTCTCCTACTTGATGACTTGTTTTTACATTTCATAATGATGTTTTTAAAAGAAAAGTATTCTAATTTTGATATAGTTCCATTTTATCAATGTTTTCTTCTTTTATAGATCATGCTTTGGTATCCTAATAAATCTATCTAGCCTGTGTTCATAAAGGCTTTTTGCTATGTTTTCTTCTAGAAGTTTTAGTCTTGCCTTTTATACTTAGGATTATGATCTATTTCACATTATTTCTCATATATGGTCTGAGATAAGGTCATAAATTATCATTATTTCATAGATTATTGCATTGATTCAGCACCATTTACTGAAAAGACTATTTTTTCTTAACCGAATTTCTTTGGCACCATGGTAAAAACACAGCTGACCATAAATGTGTGGCTTTATTCAGAATTCTGTGTTCTATTCCACTGATCCATGTGTCTCTCCTTGCCCCAATACCACACTGCCTTAATTCTTATAGCTCCACATTAAGTTTTGAAATCAGGTAGTTTGTGTCCTCTAACTTCTTTTCAAAGTTGTGTGGCTGCTCTCAGTCTTTTGCATTTCCAAATATATTTTAGGGTCAGCTTATTAACTTCTACAAAAATAAGCCTCTTGGTGTTCTGATAAGTTGGTCTGAATCTATGTATCAGTTCTGAGTAGGTCTTTTTAGCCATCAAACATTGACTGTTACCATTAGCAAAGGTGGCCAACTGAAGTCATGAGGAAGGATTGGGGGAAGGCAGTTCTCACTCAGAAATCCCCGCGGGAAGCACTGCAGGCCACATTCTTCCCTCACTATCAATTCTGGAGAGGGGGATGGTGGTAGACAAGAAGACGGATTTCCACCAATCAGCAGAAGGCAAGGCTTTCAGCTATTCCTGAAACAGGACCTGCTGTCCCGAGACTTCACTGAGTGTGCACTGAGCCCTAGGAGAGCTCCGCATCAGAGAACTGACTAATGTCCCAGCCCCTACCGCAGGAAGCTGGCCTTGACCCATTACCGTGGCATGGTCGAAGTGAGGTTCATAGTGCCCTCCAATTCCATAGTTCACCACCTGGAGGTACTCTGCATACGGAGGCCGGACATCAAGGCCTGTGAGGGCAGCAATGCGGTGGTTAAGGGTCACCAGCATTGGGTCAACGGTGTCCTTCAGCCAAGCACTAAAACACATCACAGATTGCAGCATTAATGATCTGATCCTGGAAATGATTACAGGATTTCGTGAATGAATGCATGAACAAATGATACACGTCAACTAACAGAGGAAGGAAGGAAGGGAGGGGCAGGAGAGGGCAAGAAAGGGGGAGAGGAGGGGAGTGAGGGAAGAAAGGCAGCCATAAATCTAATCCTTCTCATCCCTCACGTTAGCTGTCCAGTACTTTGTCCTCTATCTCAACATTCATGTTCATTCACTCAATAAATATTCTGAGGCCTACACAAGCCCTGTTATGAATGTGAGTGCTACGGCTACCAAATGAAGGCTCCCAGTGCCCAGGATTGTGATATAAAGAGGAAGACAACAAAGTCTTGCTCTTAAAACCACTATGTTGCACAGACATCTACAAAAGAGGGATCTGGGTGCACTGGAGGGAGCTTAGGATTTAAAATCAGAAGTTTGCTTGGCATGGTGGTGTATGCTTGGAGCCCCTGGTGCTCAGGAAGGTGGGGCAGAAGGAGCGCTTCATCCCAGGAGTTTGAGACCAGCCTTGGGCAAACATAGCAAGACCTCATTTCAATGAAGGAGAGGAGTTGAGATTAAAATTATAAAACCAGTTCCTGATCATCAGATTTTGTTTGTTTGTTTGTTTGTTTGAGTACTGAGGATTGAACTCAGAGCCTTTGCACATCCTCTTTTAAATTTTTTATTTTGAGACAGGGTCTCACTAAATTGCCCAGTTTAGGCTTGAATTTGGAATTCTTCTGCCTCAGCCTCCCCAGGTGCAGGATTATATGCGTGTACCACTGAGCCTTTTCTAAATCAGGTATTTAAGCAATGAGGGTCAGTGTGCTCATCTATAAAATGGAGACAACAATATCTGCTTTATTGACTGGTGAAGAATGTGCGAGAAACTCTTGGTAAACTATGTGATATGTATGTGGTTACTGTGAAACCCAAGAGAACTTTCTCCCTAGCTTTGCCCCAAGACAAACCAGGTCAAGCCAAAAGCCACCCAGCATAGCCCAGTCTATGCTCCTAAATATCGTGTTGAGCTTCTGAAAAAGTAGGATTTTTAGAATCAGAATATAAGTGTCTGGGAAATGAGGACAAGCTTCCAAGCAAAGCCAGTGAGCCTCCTGTGGAGAACATAAGGGTTCTGAGGGAAGAGCTCTGGTGTGATATTGGAAACATGTCTTCATTCTCTAAACGATGAATTCATTTGTTCATTCTTCCATATGGAGTACACGCAATTGTTATGTCACATGCTCTTAGGTTTGCAAAGATACCCAACCCCACATCTAAGATATTACCTTCAAAGAGTTCATGGGCTGGGTGGGAGAGGAAATCACAAATTCAATTAAGGAAAATTACAGTGAAGAAATGAGAAACATTTTAAAGTACAAAGGAGGGAGCACAGAGGAAGGAGAAGTTAATCCTACTGGGGCACTGAGATCAGGTGACGCACTGAAGCAAAATTTTGAAGGTTGCATATAAGAAGGGTGGAAAAGAGGCAGAGCACTCCAACTTGAAGAAAGAGCATAAGCACAGACACAGAAGTGTGACAATAAATAATATGTGCTGATGCTAAAGCAAGTGATTTGTGAGAGTTACAGGAGAAAGGGCTGGAGAGGCAGGCTCAGGTGTGACGTAGAAAGAGGAGGACAGCACGCTAAGCAACCTGGACTCTGTGGATTGCTATGGTTTGGGTGTGTTAGAAACTTAATTCCCAAACTCCTATGTTTAATGGTATTTAGAGGTGGAGCATCTGGAGATTAGGATTAGATGAGGTCATAGAAGACCACGATAGCAGCGCAGTCTGACAAGGGGAAGAGAAAGCTAAGCTCCCACACTTGCTCTGTCTTGCCAGTTGATGCCCTCCATCTGCTATAATGCAGCAGGAAGGCCCTCACTCACCGCCTGTCCTCCAGAGGCATGAGCTACACCTCCCATTCTATGGTGTTCACTCGGTTATTACAGCAAAATGTGACTAAAGACATGGGTAATGGATAGACCAGGAACATTTGTAAGCAAGAGATTGTTGGGGGCTGGGGATTTAGCTCAGCGGCATAAGCGCCTGCCTTGCAAGCGCATGGTCATGAGTTCAATCCCTGGTACCGGTAAAAAAAAAAAAAAAATTTTTTTTTTGGCTATTTGGAGGTCTCTGGTGATCTTTGAGAAACCAGTCCCAGTAAAACTATGAGTGGAGAAGAAAAATTCAAAAGGCTAAAGAGTTATATAAGGGGAAAAGGAGAAGATACTCTGACATGAAGGAAGTACTATCTATTCCCCCAAAAGCAATGACTTTAAATAGAAGGTTAAATTTTCTCTGCAAAACTAGAATTTCAGAAAAACAATTAAGTTAGACTATATGGTCCTCCCAAGGTTGAGAGAATAACTCCTAACATGAAAGGTCCTAAATGTACCAGACCAAATAGTTAAGCCAAAATGATTCTGATCAAAGCTTTCATCGCTTGACTTCTTTTCACAGATATGGCCTGAGATATGGCCTCCCCCAGGGACGCTGAGGTCACTGTCACACATGGCTTTGCAGGAGACTCACTCTTATCACCAGGCTGGTCCTCATGCTGCAAACACAGAGCAGAGGGAGGGAGTGAGGTGGGGGGTAGGAATGGAGTGAAGCTGGGTCCCACAGTCGAATCTGTTCCTCTGGAGAAGCCCTTGGGTTCAAGGACTCTATTTATTCCTTGGTGTTGGCAAGTCATGCTTTGCCTGAGTCAGGAGGTAGGAATGGAACCTTATAAAGTCAAATTACATATGCAGCAGGACTTCTCTGGAAAAGTGATCCTGGTTAGAATAACTGTATGTTTATGTTTTGGTTTGGAGCAGAAGATTTTTTTTAAGTTTGTCCCTAATGGCCTCCTGGTTACTTCTTCGCATGATTTAAAACCCAAGGACCATGGAAGTGGAAACTTTTCCCTCTTAAAAAGGATGTATAGTGGGCCAGGGACACAGCTCAGCAGCACAGTGCCTGCCTGGCAAGCGTGAGGTTGTGAGTTTGATTCTAGTACAAAAGAAAAGGAAAAAGAACATACAGAAATAAAAACAAGCCATGGGTTTTCCAAGGGCACCTTTGACTTTATCAGAAAGGCTGTTGCAGACCTGGCAGCCAACTGTGTCCTAGGCCTGAGGGCAGGCATCAGCAGCAGTCTCTGGCTTTTGGGAAAAAAAAGAGTCCTTCTTACCTTTTACTGATGCGGTATTCCACTTGTAACTGCTTTCCCCCGGATGCCACCACTGATCTCTGCAGCTGGGGGGAAGAACACAAGACAACATCCAGTTGGTTATAATACAAAGGGAAGACTGTCACACCTACATACGTGCACCTCTCAGAAGCATAAGCACAATCTCCAGGTCCTCCCTCATTAAAATCCTTTAATTTTGTATATGATGGCTGTTGATCTTGAGAATAAAAATATATAAATGATCAGAGATATTAGAGTTAAAAATAGTCCTCACTGTTGTGCCTGGTAGACAGTAAACACTCGGTAAAATTTGTTGAACTAAAATAAACTGATATTTGAACCCTTTTGGTATCTGCAAGAGGTAAAGTCTATTTCTCCTCCCTCTTTGTACGGCAGTGCCACACACAGGACCTGATTATAAGCTGTCCTTGGTGTTTATTTAATTAAATAAACATGTCTAACAACAGGAAAATTTGTGCTCACAGACAGCCTGCTCCTTTTGAATAATTCTGGCCAAATCCTTTCCTTAAAAATAATCACAATTTGTTTTGTACAACTGCCTTCACGATGAAAGAACTATAATAGGTCTGTAGTTACTAATTTGTTTTTGTTTTTGTTTTTTTCTCTCTTTCCCCTTTTCCCTTCTGCAGCCATATGCTGTTTATTTTTTTATTTTTTATTTTTTTATTTTATAGAATCTGAAAATGATTTTATAAATTCATGTAAATTGCACAGAATAGTGGATTACATTTTGATGTACTGCAACTTGGATATAATATACATTGATTTCTTTTTTTTGGAGGTGCAGGCTTGGCTTCCCAGAGTCCTAAGTTCCAACATGGTGTGGATCTCAGGAGACACTGCTAGTTCTCCCCCTGGAAGGGCTGCAGTCTGCCACTGTAGTTACTAATTTGGCAGAATGTCTATTTTGTTCTGAATGTCTGGATAAATATCATTTAAATTATTTTTGTAAAAAGTACCTCTTCACTGCAAAATCACCATACTAGGGGCAGAAAGACATACATTTATTTTTATGAGGATGCGTCTACCCCAGCCTCCATCATCAGATTGGCAGCTCCCTGAGGGATTAGGTGCTCAGTGCTGGTTAAACAAATGAATGAATGAATGAATGAATGAATGAATGAAGCAGGGCCTTGGGCTGCAAGGCACTGCTCGGACTCTAATCCAGCCCTGGTACTTCTCGGACAATCAGGCTGAGCCTAGAGGAATGAACTGCACAAGACAGAAACCCTGCCCTTCTCTAAGACTTCTTTAAGATCACTGTTCCTATATTAACCCAGGTTGACAACACTGCAAAAATTCCTTTTCCTTAGATACACTTCTCTGTGTATAAAACCCAGCATGTGAATATGTTCTTAGGATTTCTCCTCAGCCCGCCGCTCTGTAGTATTAGGATGTGGGAAATCAGGTGACTGATATTAGCTCTACTTTTTCCTGGTATCCTCTCCCAAGTGATTTATAGTGGAAAGACAGTCTCACCTTTTAGTTTAGGGCAAAATCAATGACAAAAAAAAAAAAAAAATTCCTAAGGCATCCTCCTCCTTCAAGTAAGGAGCTATTTTGTATTTAAACATTTATTGTCCACCTATAAACTATTTACATTTTGGAACAAATACTATATTTGTGGGTTGTTTTCTGTGCTGAGCATTGTGCTAGGCATTAGAAAAATAACACTCTAGTCCAGACAAAAATTCCTGTCCATCAGTTACTTAGTGGGGCCGTATGGGCAAGTATAGGGTGCTTTGGAAATGCAGAGAAGGGCCCAGCCCATTCATATGAAGAACAAGAAGGCTTCCCGGGATGTCCACAAGTCCTCCTTCACACAGGTGAAGAGGTCAAGGGGACAGTGTTGTAGGCAGGAAGAGGAGAGAGAGCATGGCTCATTACCAGAAAACAAAGCTGTCCACGAGGTGGGGCATGGAGTGCGAGGGGGAGATGTGGCAGCATGACCCGGTCATGAAGCTCTGCAAGCACCTGAGTGCAAAAGTGACCTGGCAAAGAGGTTAAGCAAGGGATTTAGAAGGTCAAATTTGACCTTTTAAAGATTACTCTGGCTGGGTGCACTGGCATTTGCGTATCTCTGAGCACTTAGGAAGCTGAGATAGGAGGATCACTTGAGCCCAGAGGGTCCAGACCAGTCTGGCAACATAGCAAGTCTTCAACTCAAAAATAAAAAAAAAAGAAAAAGAAAAAAAATTGGCTGCAACAAGCATAACCTAACACAGGGCAAAGCATTTGAAGAAAGATATGATGCCTGCCAGTTTACAGTATAGTCATCAAATAGACAGTGATCCCAGAACAGCACATAAATAGCAGAGTAAATTTAAAAATCAAATGCCACAGAGACTATCAGCAAGGAGGAAGGGGATTAGAGGAGGGAAGAGAGGCTAAAGGAGGTATTTGGGGAGATGGATAATAATTTCATCATGTACGAAAATGCTGCAATGAAACTATTACTTTATATAATTAATATACACTAAAGATTAATAAAATCTCTTTTAAAAAATTTAAAAAGAAAAAAGTTATGTTCCACACAACTGGCAACAAAAGTTCTGAGCTCAGAGGAGGAATATGTTGATTTATGTGGCTCCAAAAAAGTGCTCTGGAAAACATGATCGCTCAAGGAAATGGTCGAAGTAGGCCAGTGCAGTTAGGAGAACAGGTCCAAAGGATGCTCGGGGTTTTAACGGAACCTTTGAGGATGGGAAGGATGTGGGAGTGGGGGAGAGAGAGAGGAAGAATGATGGGAGCAGCTTTGAGAAAGGGAGAATGGATAGGAAGCAGACAGATCCAACAGGAGGCACAGAGGCGGCTGTGCTCAGTTGTCCCTGAAAGCCACTCCCATGTAAACCCCAGGGTTTATTCCTGGAAGACCAAAAACCAGACAGGCAGCAGCAACCCCTTCAAGACGCCTCTGGGGGAAGGGAGTGTGGCAAGGCTTGTGCATGCCATACAGATGACCTGGCCATAAAGGAATCAAAGAACATCTCTGGGTAGGCTGCCCGTCCTGTCACTATGGCAACAGAGCTGTTCTGAGGAAAAAGCCATCGCTAGCCAGATATGACTGCTGGTTCCCTGTGAAGCTGATGCTGCTGTAAACACATTGTCCCATCACCAACAGAGCTCAATCAGCTCCAAACCTTCTGTACAAAGATTCTAGACTTGTCTGGAAGGGCTGTTGGATGCAAGTATTGCTGTTCTTCTCCCTCCAATCCACGTGTGCTGTCAGTCTTCCTTAAAATCTCAGATTTGACCATGCTACTCAACAGTTTCAAACTGTCCCACAGCCCTCCCATGGGATAAAACCCAAACTCCCCAGCACGGCATGATGGCCTTTGTTAATGGTGGCTCATCTCTGGCCCCATCAAGCTTTGTCTCCCACCCCGTCCCACGTACACTTCAGCCACCAGGTTCTCCCTGTTCTCCGATGACACCACAGGTCAGGCCCTCACATGTAGGAGTTTGTCTTTCTGGAGTACTGTTTGCCACCTTGTTCAGCGATGGCTTTCACCTTACGATGGAGCCTGCTTCCTCCTCTCCTCCCAGCAGTCTTCTCTTCAGAGAAAGGCTCAGATTTCCATGGCACCACAGCACAACTCTGCACACACCGCTTCTACAGTGTTTCCCCCGCTTAGCTAGTAGGATCCGAAAGGGAAAGGAGTGATATGCCACTGCTTTGTAAAACCCCAGCACAGTCATAGTGTCTGGCATAAGCAGACTCTGTTCCTTTGATGAATAAATATCTACCTGGGTAAACAGCACATAATAAGGGCATGATATCTGGGTAGACATAAATAACTCTGAGGCAGAATTAATGGGCTGATTTTACTTTTCTGCAGTTCTAGTACAACAGAAAATTGGCCCCCCTAGTGAACAGACCTCAGTTTCTTAGTTGCCCAGGTAACAGTTCCTGTTGCAGTTCCAGTTGCTTCTGTCTCCTGGGAACACTGATCATCGTGATACTCAGCTGTCCACTACGATGCACAGTGTAAGAACCAATCAAAAACAGCCAAGTACTCTACTTCTGTACTTCCACTTGGCAATCTCTTAAAAACTGGGGACCAATATTTTGAGAATGGACCCAGTATAAATAAATCTGCCTGCAATTCCTAGGTGCCATTTTGGTATTTCTGTTTGCAGTAGCACCAGGAATCAAATCCAGAGCATATATACTAGGCAAGCAGTCACATTAAGATACACCCCTGTCCCAGTGCATTAAAGAGACAACAGGCTTGCAGAGATGATATTATTTTTCTTTTTATCACATAATTTTCTAAGGAAATTATGAAATGTCCCCTACAACTGGTCTCAAGCGTGGCAAGTGACTTGCATGCTTTCCCTATGGAAGGACAGACAGACTTCCCTAATGCCTGTAGTGGCGGATATGTTCTTTGGCTTAACTAATGACGCAGGAGTGGATGCAATGCCTGGCATTTCCAAGCAGAAGCTTTAAAAGGCAACTCATGTTTGCCACCTCTGTCTTTTTCTTCTTTCATAAGAGTGGCAAAATCTCAAACAGAGGCTGCTCTGTCATGTTAGGTTTCAAAATAGAGACAGTGTAGGGTAGAACTATAGCTAACCTAGGATAGACATGTAATGTAGGAACCTATTGTCTATATATAAGGGCTATTTGTTACCAAGCATAACTTAGCCTAAGTTAACTGATTTAAAAAGGAAAAACACCACAGTGGCAAACAAAGAATCTCTAAGTTGGTGTTGTGACTCTAGCTCCTTATGATTTTAGTCAAACTCATTCCCTTCTCAGGATCTCCCAGTCTTGAACAAAAACCACGAAGTTGAACTAGATAATTTCCCTACTCTTTCAGTTGGTAAATTTGTACTAGGATTTCATTCCTTGCCACATGTCATCTTACACTTTTTTTTTCTGGGAATTATATGGAAAGGTTGACATTTTAAGAAGTTTCTTTTGTATTTTTTGAACTCAAATTTACACGCAATGATATGCACAGGTCTCAAACATTTACACTGATAAATACAGCCATGTACTCCACAGCCTTAAGAAGATACTGAGAGCACATTTTTAATACCTCAGAAAAATCCCTTGGTTCCTCACCCCAGTTAATCCTTTTCCTCCACAGGCAACCAGTATTGTGATTATTCCCCCACCACTGGTTAGCTCTATAGAACTGCTGGCATTTTGAGCCCCTGGACTGATAAAACTGTAGGCTGCCTGTTGTCACATTCCTGAAGTCCAGGCATGTGAAGCTTTTGGCACACTCACCCATGGCTCTGCAAGCTCTCGAATTTTCTGAGCTTCTGGGTCACTGACGAAGTCATGGTAAAGAGCAACATAGGGCTCCAGGTGGATGACTTCCTTCCGGACCGGTTGAAGCAGCAGATAGGGGCTGGAATTGGTCTCATAGGAGCAATAGAGACTAGGGATCTGGTAGTGAATGGGCTGGAAGGACAGAGAAGAACTGGCATGAGAGGAAGGGTCTAGGAGCAGAAACTACAGCATAAAAAACTAGAATTTGACAGGTACAGAATGCGGTTACTCTGATGCTGTCCGAACGAACATTACTGTTTTTAATGCATCAGCTTTTCCTCTTCCATTGTGCCAATTCTAGTTTCTCATGCTCTAGCCGAGCCTGTCCTCCCTTTCTCTTGAACTGTGGAGTCCTACCTGAGAACCCAGCGTCTGACACAACCCCTCATACGTGTCTCTGGTCTGCAGGTGGGGCACATTTGGCCTCTGGATGACAGTCTCAGCCACTTCTTGGTGAGAGCTCTCTGCCAAGAGCCTTTCATACTTCAACACATTCCTGACCATCCTCTTATTTTCTGGGCCTGGGAGAAATGAGAGCACAGAATAATATGGGCTAACAGACAGTGACCTCAGACAGAGATATCAAGATTTCCTACAACTTTATTGTTACACTGGACCGTCAATTGGATGCCACGAAAAACTCCTCAGGTCAATGCCTTAACTTTCAAAAGAATATCTGGTGTTAAAAAAAAGACTGACTAGGGCCTATGGATTGGATGGTACAAATGGCTTTGGGAAGGAATTTTAGACATTTTTAGACCACAAGACCATGAAGATGACTGCTCTGGGATAGTGTGGTGGTTAGTTTTATGTATAGGAAAGAAGCTTAATTCATTCATTCATTCACTCATCCCTTCAATAAATGTTCAATAAATTATCTTGGGCATATCAGATACAATGCTAAAGGATAACTTCCCAGAGTTTAGAGTCTAATGATCAGTTAGAAGAAAACATGCTAAGTAGATGCTATGAAAGGAAGTCTGAAGACCCCAAGCCTGCAGCATGAGACCCAACCTATTCTTTCCTGAAGAATTGAAAGTTAATTCTTCCTCTGCTCCACTAGATCCTTCAGGATATCTAGTTGGTCTAGACACACAGCAGAACAATAAGGGACAAAGGGACTGTAGATCTTGGTTCTCATCTAATTCACACAGGGCCTTTGGGAAACCCAAGGAACCTTATACTTTCCTTTGCCCACCTGTTTGTGCCAGTTCGGCTACAAGATGGGTTGGCAGCTACCCATGGCCCACTGGCCTCTGTGCATGATTCTCAGTGCTTCTCAGAAGAAGGTGTACAATTGTTTTAATGCTCTCAAAGTATCTGAGGAGCCCAATGTGCTTCTAACCACACCACCACCACCCTGGCAAAAGAAGAGACGAGGGAGGAGAAATTACTATTCCTTTCTAATGAAAGGAGAAATGAAGTTTGGAATGGAAATGATAAGCCCAAACACCAATGAAAATATTGCAAAGCTTGAAATGAACTGGGAACCTGGTGGCTTACTTAACCACCAAACTGATAGCATACAACTTGGGTTCCATGAGAGAGACAGATTTTAATAGATCAAACACAAAGAAATAAATGAAGAGCTGAGTTTTAATTTTGTCTATACTACTAATCATCCATGTGTTTCCAGACTATACAGCAACTTCCATATCCTACTGTTTGCCAAATTAGTGGGAAGGAATAATGTTTCTGTTGTCTCTTGAAATCCATAGGGGACTGGCTCCAGGACACCGATGTGCACCAGAAATCTCATATAAAATGGTGTATCTGCACACATCGTATGCACATCTTTAAAAATCATCTCTCGACTGCCTGTAATACCTAACATAATGTAAATTCTATGTAAATAGTTGTTATAGCGTATTTTTCAGGGAACAATGATAAGAAAAAAGTCTATACATGCTCAGTACAGATGCAGTTTTTTTTCAGGTATTTTTAATCCAAGGTTGGTTGCCTCTATAAATAAAAAACTCCCAGATGTGATGGACTCATTAAAAAGTTAGAATATAATTATGAAGTTCTACATGAAGTGTATCATAAACATTAAGACAATTATTACAATATCAGTGTTTTGTTCCTTGTTTTAGTATTTACTTTACTAAAGGAGCCATGTACCACTACAATTTTAAACAAAACTCAGCTAGGAATCGTCTCCCTCCAAGTCAATGATTTTATCAGAGGAGCTATCCTCAGTGTTATTAATGCTTTCTTTTCTTTTCTTTTTGTTTTCTAGTAAGGCATTCCTTGAAGGGGGCTGAAGCCGAACTCTGCCGCCAACTGGGCACAAAGCTTGCAAAGCAAAGTGAGCCCCAGTTTTGCAGGAAGACAGCCCTCTGTTAACAGCCAGGGTGGCTAATAATCCTGAGTCACGCTCCCTGTACACACAGAAAACACTCATTTCATTCGTCCCGGGGTCCACTTCCAAAGCCCAAGTCTTTAAAAACGTCTCTGAAGAAACAGGCTTCCAGCCTGAACTTGTTCCCACTGAAGGAACAAGTTGGGAGGGACGGGTCGATGCCATCCTCCCCACACTTTCCAGCTAACTAGCACATTCTTCATGATGCCCCCATCTGCATACAACTAAGATTTCACCCAACATTCGAAATCTGCTTTGGATGTTGACATTAGAAGAACAGAACTGAGTATCTAATATTTCACTTGCATGAATTAAATGCCAGAAGCAGAAGCCAGACCCATGGCCAGCTCATCTTTTTATCATGACTTACTGTAGAGAAGAAACTCTCGGGAGAGGCTGAGCGCACATGAAACATTTCCTGCCTTATTAAAAAAAGAAAAAGAAAAGAAAAGAGAGCATTAACAACACTGAGGAGACCTCCTCTGACAAAATCACTGACCTGATTGTATAACAGTAAACTATATTCTTACTCCACGTAGATACTAAAGCTCACTGAAAGAGCAGCAGGTCAGACATTCAGGGGATTAGGGCCCTGCTGCAAAATCAGCTCTTATTTTTCTCCTCATTTATAAATGACTTATTATCACCCTGCCCAGGAAAATAACGGTAATTTAATTAAAAAATTTGCTCGATAGAAAAACGATAAACTATTTATTTATTTATTTATTTAAGGTAGAGTCTCATTATGCAATTTGAGATGGCTTTGAACTCATGGTGAACCTCCTGCCTCAGCCTCCCAAGAGTTGGGATTATAGATGTGTGCTGCCATGCCTGGCTAAACTTTCTTGAAGTGTCCATAAATTTCAAAGTGAGCAAAACCATGTAGCTATAGGATGTTGTGCCTCGGTCATATTTTGTTGTGAAACTATAAAACTCTAGTAAAAAATAGAATTTGTTCTCCAGACTCAGTACTTTCTATAGCAACCACTTTGAAAAATCCATGATTTTTTGCACAATCATGTTATTTACATTTTCATATCCTGATTATTTTACTTTACATTGTTATCAGAATTTTTTGTTTGCTTGTATGATACTAGGGATTGAACTCAGGACTTTGCAGTGATTTATGTCTCAGCTTTTAAAAATTTTATATTTGTAGTTTGAGACAGGGTCCTGCTCAGTCTAAACTGCCCATGCTGGGCTCAAACTCCTCCTGCCTTGGCCTTCCAGAGGGCTGGGATTACAAGGCATGTACCACCATGCCCGGCTTCAGAATGACTTCTATATTAATACACAGCCTTTGTAGACAGCATTTTTCATGGCTGCATTTATTCCACCCAGAAACTACATACAGATGACAAAAATGTCACAGTTGGGAGTAGAGATTATTTCCAATTAGTTATTATCATGAATTATTCTGCCATATACTTAGTAGAAGAATAGCTAAGTGATCTATGAATATCTTATAATGTCAAATATTAACAGTATTACAGCTTTTCCTATGCTGTAAGATGAAAAGAACGTTCACATAATTTTACATAGTTGGTTTTTCCTTTCCTTTTCTTTCTTTCTTTCTTTCTTTCTTTTTTTTTTTTTTTTTTTTTTTTTGTCTTTTTGAGACAGTGTCTCTATGCAGTTCAGGCTGGCCTTGAGCTCACTTTGTAGCCCAGGCTGGTCTCAAACTCACAATGATCCTCCTGCCTCAGCCTTCTGAGTGCTGGGATTACAGGCGTGAGCCACCACGCCCAGCTAAAGAATTACTTCTTATTCCCAGGTAAATTTCTTTGGAAATACACACAGTTAAGTAACATTTGCTGAGTGTGATAGTATATATTTGTAATCCCAGCAGTTTGGGTGGCTGAGGCAGGAGGATCACAAGTTTGAAGCCACCCTAAGCAATTTAAGAGACTTAGTGAAACCCTGTTTAAAAAAAATTTTTTTAAAAAGTTCTTTCTAAAGGCTGGGAATGTACCTCAGGGCAAAGGTCCTAGATTCAATCCCTAGTACAAAGCAAAAAGGAATATTAAGTGAAAAATGAGAACACACACATAATACAGTTTACATTTAGTGTGTAGTGTGTCACACATATGTAAAAGTTCTGCACGTATTAGATCACTTAATCTTCATGTAACCCTTTGAGATAATCATTAGTGTTATTTCCCTTTTTACAGATAAGAAAATTGAGGGAAATTAAGTAAGTCAACCAAGTTTTCACAGAATTTGAGCCTTGTTCTGTCTGATTTCTGAATCTAAGGCTTAACCTTACATCTTCTACTGTCGTTATCAATATGTCCTAAACAGTTTTTTACTAACATACGTAAGGAAGAAATACATGTATTACATTTTAAGCAACAACAAAAAGTCCATAAAGAGACGTTTATCTCTCTAATTTACTGGGGGAAAGGAAAAAGTTAAATAAACCATTTTTATGATGAAGTGTTACATGTCTAACTACTTTGGCATTAAAAAAATTGTGCAATGAGAGCACATGGAGAAAGCTGCACAAAGTGACATCTGATTGGGCCTTGTCTGGTACACAGAATTTTGCCAGACAAAGTACCTGGGAAAAGGCAGTCTACCCATAAGCAGAGAGAAATCTATCATAAGAGGGAGAAACAAAACAAAACTAATAGAAGAATACCGTATTAAAAACCCTATCTTTTAGGGGCAAGCTGCTTTCATTAGTCTGCCTTCTCTGAGCCTCTTTACATCAATTCTTTTTCCTTGTCCTGCTAAAGCTCAGTTTCTTCTCGCTGTTACAGCATAGTTACTGTTTTTGCTCTAATGTGTAACAGTTAGGCAGGAGAGTTAGAAAAAGATCACTTTGTAACAAGGACCCAGTTACCAGGAACTTTCATGGAAGAAACAGGACTGCACTGAGCATAGATCTGTTCTCCCGGCAATATGTGGATTTGGACCATCCACATCTTCCTTTTTTTAAGGACAAGCAGGAAAGAAAAAGGAATTTGGGGGTGGGGGTGTGGCTCAGTGGTAAAGTGATTGCCTAGCGCGCTCTAGGTTTGGTTCCTAGTAGAGAAGGATAAAGAAAGGGAATAGAAATGGTTTATTAGCTTTAGAAACTCCAGGTATGATAGTTAACTGATGGTGTCAATCTGAGTAAGAAACACCCAACTAAACCTGATCAGCACAGTTCTGGTGTGGCTGGAGGAATTTACTGAAGACTGAAGACCCACCCCGGGTGTGAGTGCCGCCAACCAACAAGCTAAAAGGGAAACAAAGGAGGAAGGCTCTTCAGAGGAGCTCCAGCCTTTGCCTTCACCTTAGACGTTGTATCCTGGCTCTCCGTGCAGGCCCTTTGGCCTCCTGATAGGGACTCACACAGGACAACGCAGTAAACTCCAAGATCCTTGGACTCTCTGGCTCACAGAGACCCCTTTGCGCCTTTCCACACCTGACGGGAGGCAGCCACTCTAAGGCAATTTCGTAAATTCTCACATAAAATTTTTACAGATCTATTTCTCTAGTAAGCACTGACTGATACACCAGGGAATTGTTTCACAGCCATTTTCCAAGCCTGTTCCTGAAGACCGTACAACTCCAGTGGGGAATGGGATCATCAACACAAAAAGATGGCAGCTGCTTAATCTTTAGGGAATGAACTGCTGCATGAAGCACGGCAGGTAGTAGGTCAACAGTGTCAAGAACAGATGACACAGAGGGAAGCATGGAGGTTGGTGCAATGGCCCAGTGACACCAGCTGAGTCGGACCCAGTGGCAGGTGGGAGAAGAAAATCAAAGTTTTTTCCTTCTTGGCAATATCTGTGAAGAGTTTTCAGTTGGTGAGAGTGTGAGTGATTTACAGTTACTGTGACTGTAAAAGATTTGTGGATGCTGCAGTTGATGTTGTGGATAAGAGACTGCCTTCTTCCTGGGTGCTAAGTCCAGCTCTATGAGCTTTATGATAAAAAGTTTTTTGGAGACTTGGTTTACTCACATGTGCTATATGGAAATAATAAAATAGCTGTCCTCTAAGTTTGAGACCAGCCTGGGCTACAAAATGAGCTCAAGGCCAGCCTAAATTGCATAGTGAGACCCTGTCTCAAACCAAACCAAACCAAACCAAACAAAACTGCCCTCACATTTGGTTCTATCGGGAAGATGAAACAAATTAAGAGGCATGACAGCATTTAGAAAGTTGTAAATCAGATGTAAAGTATTATATCGTAACAAAGCAGCGAGCTTCACCTGCTCCCCTACCTGGAAACAGGCAAAGGCCAAGTGATCCAAAGCATCTTCTAGACTCGCCTCGTCCTCTGTCTTCCACTCTCCGTAAGATCCTCTGAAGAGACTGACAGCCTCCTCAAGCCACGGAATGGCATGGTAGTAATCGCCCATATCATAGGCCACCTGCAGGGAACACAGAACCCAGCCAAAAGCCTCAGCCCACCGGCAGGAGAAAGGAAATGATAATTCAGAGCAAGAGAGCCTTTGAAACCCAAGAAGTATGTTTTAACCTCAGATTCGTTTCTTGAAATTTATTAAGCATCTAATAATAAGGCATTATAGTAGGTAGAGAGAAAACACAAGAGTTCTTTCATTTAAGGAATTTATACTCTGGAAGAGCAGCTGCACATGAACTCAAGTAACCACAACATGGGGTAGAGCAGCAAGAGAGCTTGAAGGGATAGCCTAGGAGGCCCAGAAAAGGGAAGAGCCCTGGCAGTCTCAGCGGACTTCCTGGAAGGTGTGGCATCCGAGGTGGGTCTGCCTGGCGGAAGAAAGGAATTTCAATGAGCAGATAGCGAGGAGGTACATTTTAAAATGAAGAAGTGTCAGAAAAGAAGCAAAAATATGTTCATGAAATCGATTGGGACTGTAATCTAACGTGAAGATAATGAACACTAGAAGGGAACACAGGCTAACCTACTCAATGTTTACTCAGTATTATGTACCTGGTGATCCTCGTCCTTAAAGACCTTGAGCATGTGAGGGTACGTGAAGAAAGCAGGCACTGTAATACAGGGCGCCGTACACCATAATGAAGGCAGACATGGGAATGCTATGGGAGCTCGGCAGATCTGCTCTGATTTAGTGCTGGAATGTAGGGCAACATGTACCAGACATGACTCCTGTCTCCTAGCAGCTTATAGTTAACTAGAATACCAGACCTGCAGGTGCAATTACTGGAAGTTACTACTGGAACCATCATGGAACTATAAAGTCATGGAGTTGGGAGAACGCTTACAAAATGATCTCATTCAAGTGTAACTTCCAGAAAGGGTAGAACCTAGAGATACTGCAGCCTAAATAATACAGTAACTCTGATTATGTTAAACTGCCTCAAATTTCCCATTTGTAAAAAAGGTTGAGGTGAATAAGAATAATAAATGACAGAACATTTCCTGGTGAGTTAAAAATTTTTTTTCACTGCTGGAGAATGAACCCAAGGCCCTGCACAAGCTAGGCAAACACTCTACTATGGAACTACATCCCCGTTTATTTAATTAGTGTTTCCATGAGGAATTTCAAGTCACAGCACCATGATAGATTGAGGCAACCTGAATTCTTCCAAGTACAAATATTTAGATATTTGAAATAAGATATAAAAAGGATTTTATGATATATCTTCAAGAAAAAAGTGGAAAACACCAGGTACCGGAAACAAAAACTAGCTGAAAACTCAAACAATAAGCTCGTGAACAGATGCTGAGGTGTACAGCACTGAGGTGGGTGTCAGTCTCACTGACCTGTTGTTTAGCAACAGAAGGTCCCCTCTCCTGAACCTGGGAATTGAGACTAAAACATCCACATAAACGGGATTCTATGAAAAACTGTACCGTAAGCAAAAGAGTAGACCAGGAAAATAATTATCCACTGGTTTAAGGAGACAAGAAAGCAGATTTGTTTCTGTCTGGTCTCTGTGTAGAGAAATAAATGCCTCCTTAAAATTTTTAGTCATGGTCAGGGATTTAGCTCAGTGGTACAAATGCCTGCCTTGTAAGTGCAAGGTCATGAGTTTGATTCCCAGTACCAAAGAAAAGGTGTGTGTGGGGGGGGGATATTTACAATTGTGAGGCTATGCCTCGTATGCATTTACAGTTTGAATTTTATAATATTCATATGGCCAAGGAACCACTGAGTCAATAACTCAGTCTAAAAATGGGTCTACGACCAGTAATAATACCCGAGTTCCTGGCAAAAGAAAATCTTAAAACTCTCTAGAGGGTTTTCCACAGCTCTGGGCACAGAGACTTTCTGAGGGGGTGATGGGTGGGGGAAAAGAAGCTGTGAATCAAATAAGACAAACTACATCGGAAAATTGTCCATTACGAGAAGAATCAAGACAATATTGTTCAGTAGTGGAATTAGACAACAATCTCAGAAAACATGAAGGTCAACTTACTTAAAATAACTCATAGAGGAAGGGATTGGGAAGTACTGGTGAAACAAATTTGGCCACATGTTTGTAATTACTGAAGCCTATTCTTCCACCTGGCAATGCCACTCCCAGTACTCACCCAAGACAAATGAAGACAAATGTTCATAGCACATACCTAACAAGCTAATCACAGTTTTATTCAGAGCATCCCAAACCAGACAATCTAAGTGTAAAAATCTCATGCTGGAAAACATGTGTCATAATGGAATACTGCTTAATAATAAAAGGAGTGAACACTAACAAATGCACCAGTAGGGATGAACTTAATAAATTGTCATGTGTGGAGTAAAAGAAACCTGATTCAAAACAGCACAGACTGTGTGGTTCAGCGCCAGCAAGGGAAGCCTAGAAGGCCCGAGAGGTGGGTGGGAAGAGTAGCTTTAAGTGTATGTAACATCTTTCTAAAATTCTTTTTAAAAATCTGAAATATAGCAGAACTTGAACACATATAGCATTTCAATTATAAAAATAATTTTTGTTATTTTAGTTTTTTTTAACATTTGAGATGCTTTAGCTTTCAATACAAGAAAATACATAAGAAAAAAAGATTGCCAGCAAGAATTCTGGCAAGAGTTTAAATATATTTTCAATGTATGGTTTTAGTTTCAGAAAAGTCTCACTAATGAAGAATTATTGGTACCTTACATCAGACTTCTTTAATTGGCTTAAATTTAAATTAGCCATGAACATAATGATGGTTAATTCTGCTCGACACCTTAGAAAGGAAAACCAGTATGTAGAGAAAGTCAGGGCAATGAATTCTGAATTAATTTGGAAAGCAGATCCATAAAATTTGGAACCAGGACCTGTGAGCCTACTCTCAGATCTGCTAAAGAATATGGTAGAAGCCAAGAATAATTCACTCTCCTGCAACGTGCATCTTCAAAATTAAAAAAATATGTTCTCTATTACTTTTTATGGCAAAACTGTAAAGAGTATATTATAAAATGACCTCAAGTATGATTACAACTTATGATCAAAAATCAGTTAAACACAACATCTGGGAAGGTCTTGAAGTCTATTTCCATGAATAAAATTAAAAGCAATGGCCTCAAGTTATTTTTCACACTAACTTAATTAGTATTTCTGAATACTTAGGAAATGTTGCAAGGGACTCCAGAGTCTCAGGGACTGGATTCCAGGATCTTACCTTCACATCATCATCTTTTATCCTCTTCCTCACATTCTTCCCTTTTCCACTCAGAGGTTCATCTTCCGGCAAGGGTTACAGTTAGGGCAGTCAATGGATCATTTTGCCTAGTTTATGCCTGTTGTTCTGGCATAATTAATAACATCTCTTTCACTCATAGGGTTTCGTAAGTGTAAGATCACTTTCCCATGGAAAGATGGTGGGGTCTAGAGTTAGCATACTGGGCTCAAAATTAGTTTGCTGCTTAAAATTGTGTACTCTTAGTTATCTACATGCTTTGAAGCTTAGCTTCTTCCTCTGAAAGTAGAAATAGCATCAAATTTTTAAGTTTATGGTTAAGTAATATATATATATATATATATATGTATATATACATACTTAAGTATAATGTATACTTAACAGTATATATGATATATATACAATAGGAACATAGTAGTTATTTCATCCATGAGAAACTAAGGCTGAGCAACTGGCCCTCTCTGAATGTCATTACCTTGCCTATTTGGAAGCAGTCGTCTGCTGTCAGGGAGAAGAGCTGCCTGGGACTGTATAGGTCAGTGACGGCAGAGCCAGTGACTCGCTGAAAGACGCCCCGGGCGAGGCCTTTCACATTGAGCATGTATACATCCTGCAGCCTCATCAGGGCTCGTGCTGCCCCCTCCAGGTCCTCAAAGGCTGGAAGTTCTTGCTCCAGCTTCTCATAACCATCCTTCAGAGCTGTAAAGGTAGAGTAGGGGTGTGGCTCAGTGGTAGAGCACTTGCCTAGCATGTATGAGGCCCTAGGTTTGGTCCCCATCACCACAAAGAAACACACAAACAGGCGATGAGCATTAAGAACAGGCTGGGCAAGACCACCTATTCAAACAGTTGACAAAATAATATTTCATTTTTCTTTGCATTCCCAGTGGCAACCACAGCTCCTGGCACCCAGGAGAGGAAAACATTCAGAATGAATGGATGAGAACTAAAAATAAGGCACGCATTACTCCTCTCCAGTAATCCTGCCCTTTGAGGAGACAATTCTTCCTCTTCACTTCCCAAAGACCAATACACTTGTCAAAGTACAAAGCAGTACACAGCAGGAAAGTGATCTGGCTATAGATCGCTTTGTATTACTCCATTTTCAAATCAAAACCTTAATGAAAGAGAAACTACTAGAAGACCACTATATTTTATACATACACAGAAGGGATAGTAGATCCTTCAGTAGTAAAGATCAAATGGAGTAATGGATATGAAAGTCTTTACTAGTCTATAATTATACAAACCTGTCAGCAAGGGGATCTAATTTTTTGGAGCACATCGTACCTACCCTTCACCATATCCCAGCAAAACCTCTCTCCTTACCACTGAGTCAGGAGACAGAAACTTCTTTCTTACCCTCCAGCCCTCCTCCTCATTACCTCGGATGTTCTCACTGGCCTCCAGACTATGTACCACATTCCTCCAGTCAGAATGCAGGCGTTTGATGAGAGTAAAGGCAAGCAGAGGGTTAGCCACAGGGGTTGCTGAATCCTCATGCAAGGAAAGTACCTTGTCATAGAATCTGAAAGAGAGAGGTATAAAATTTTCACTTCCTGATACAACCACCATAACTAGAAAAAGCTGTCATGATGCCTGTATGTTGTAGGCATGATGGCATATGCCTGTAATGCAGCGCTCAACAGGCTGAGGCAGAAAGATTGTAAATTTAAGGCCAGCCTTACACAGAGAGTTCAAGGCTAGACTAGACTAATATAGTGAGACCCTGTGTCAAAAAGAAATAACAACACAAAACAAAAAGGACTAGCTAAAATAGGTCTGGCAGTGGAACTCAGTGTATGTAGCCCTGGGTTTGATCCCCAGCACTGGGGGAAAAAAGAAAAAAGAAAGGAAAGAGTAGGTAAAATTGAAGGACTGATTCTCCTGAGACTCATGTAATAATTTACCCCAAAGGCCACAGAAACAGGTCTACTCATCTGCTCACTGAGTAAGTCAATGTACAGCACTCAATCACTGCACGTCAGGTAAAATGCTAGACATTCAAATACAAGACATGGCCCAGCTACCAAGAGTGCAAATGAGAAAGTTCTTTTCCTGCTGTCGCCATTCTATTCTTAGTGTCTTGCAGAAACTCAAAAACATTTGTTTAATAAATTATGATAATTGATACATGCTACAAGAGAACTGAACACACAGTGCTATGACAATTTGTAGGCAGAGCACATATCACAAGTGGGAGTTGCAAGGAGAAAGGGGAGATTTCCCAGAAGTGATGACACTTAGCCTGATACTGGAGGTATTTGTTAGAATGTGGATGGCTACTATTTATTGAGCCCTTACCATGTACTGGCATCTTTAATTATATTCTCATTAATCCTCCCAACAACCCTTAGTGTAGACTTTGTTTTATTCTTATTTTATAATTGATTGATGATTGATTGATTGTAGTACAGGGCACTGAACCTGTATCCCCACAACTGAGTTATATCCCTATCCTTTTTCATTTTTACACAAGGTTTCACTAAGTTGCTATATTTTTCAGTATGGACTTGAATTTGTGATCCTCCTGCTTCAGCTTCTCAGAGTATTAGGACTACAGGTGTACACCACTGTACCCAGCTACTATAAATTTTATTTTGCCCATTTTCCAGGAGTAAAAACTGAACAAGGACACATTATCAGTAAATGGAAAAGCCAGGAATGAACCGAAGTCTACCTGACTCAGAAGCTTGGGTTCTCAGGTGATTTTGCTATCATGTTTCCATAGAGATAAAACAAAGAAAGAAGGAAGGTCGTTTTTAAGTCAACAGGGTTTTTTTTTTTTTTTTTTTGGTTTTTTAACAGTTTTTGTTTTTGAGCCAACAGTTTTTGTTGGTATGTTTTTGTGCATGAGAGCAGAACTTGACATATATTTGCTTATTCAAAAAGCTAATCCCGAAAGAAGCTTTCTTTCTCTCAATAAATATGTTCTGTTCTTTAAAAAAAAGCTAATCCATATTGGTTACTTCTTGTACATTACACTATGTTGGGAACTGGAAATACAAAGTCAAGAAGGGGCCCAATGCACAAAGTTTGTGGACAAAAGAAAACAATTTTTTATCACTCTGTACCTGAGTTCAATAATTACTTGGATGAGAAAATGAATGAAATACTTATTCTAAGAGCTGGTGACAGAATCTTAAATAAGACAATGTCCATGGTCTCAAGGACTCAGAGACTCAAAGATTTAGATACAAGTAATTATAGTACATGTGCAACATCAGATTTAAGAACAAGACTTACAGAGCAGCACAGAGAGTGGGTGGTTAATTCGGCAGGGCAGATGGGGCGGGGCTGCTATGACCTGATTATACATATAAATCAGTGAGAGGGTAGGGAGGAGGGTTCAGACTGGAAGGGACTGGAGACAGAAAGACTAAGGCGGAGGCTAGTTCAGAACCATAAGGAAGAGGTGAGGAGAGGTGGGGCCAGAACAGTGGCCATGAGGGCAGAGAATGGGATGGCTAAAGGGAAATACTTAGGCAGCTGACAATGCAGAAACCAGCAGTGACTGCAATAAGGAATAAAGAGTGGGGTTAACTAGTTCAATTACGATTTTCCACTTTGGCAACATTTGCAGGAAAGGGCTGAAAATAGATCCAATGTGATCATTTTCCTAGGTAACTTCTTTCTTCTTCAAATGTCCTGTACAAGTGTACATGTAGGCAAAAGAGGCTGGTTCTTTCCCTGGTACACTGTGGTTATTTCATTTCCAACACACTGATAGAATTTATATTATTGAAATGTATCCATTATGTTTAATAGGTTAAAAGTGTTGGCCTTGCACTCTAAATTTTTTCCTCTTTTCTAAAACAATCAATTTCAAAACAATACAATTACAATAGAAGTAAAAGAGGAAAGAGTATAAGCTAGGTGAATACAGTATGTATTGTATGAAAGAGCACATAAGATTATGAGTCTTTGGTCAAAAGTAGGGGACTTCTGCAAGAGGAAAGGATTGAAAGAGAAAAACAGAGGATGTGGTAGGGGATGCTAAGCCCTTGATTTCTGATCTGAGGATTTTAAATAGCAGGGCTCTCAACTAAGAAAGGGAGCCTGAAAGAAAAGATGATTTGCTTTGCAGCTTCCAAGGAGCCAAGTTTTCAATTTAACATAAATTAAGAACTAGAACCTAGGCCTGGGTGACCCGGGTAGGACATAGGAAGCTTGTGTGTCCCAGGATGTCTCTGATCCTAAAGACAGGCTGTCTGTAAGCAGTTACCCCAAGGTTTTGAAATTAAACCAGCCTACAGGGTGTGGGATCTTTTTACTGCCCTTTATTTCTTGCTTTAGCTCCATATGGAACTACTTACTGAAAGATATTTCACTGCTAGACGAAAAAATGTACAAGCAGAGACTTGTGCTGAGTTTTAAAAAATAAGTGTCCAGGAACAATTGAGGCTGAGGGGGCAGCAATTTTATAAGACAGCTGGCCAGGGAGGAGCTGGGAGGGAAGAGGTCTAGGACTTATTCTGACCCAGGTCCAACCAATAGTTTCCTCCTCTGTAAGACGGGGGGGAAAAAAAAAACCCACAAAAAACTCCTGGTCTCTAGACAGTCTCCGTAGGCTTTCCCAGGCTCTTGCACTCTATTATTTCTTCCCATCACTTTCGCTACCACTAAATAAATAGGTCTCTCTTAGTAGCTTAAGGAATAAGGCTTAACAGACAGAGGAAACTGAGGCACATTTGGAAAAAGGTAAGCCACAGAGGTTAATTCTTGTCCCAAGTCGCGTATCAAACCAAAACACCATCTATATCCTTGTCCTCTTTGTACCCCACTTCATATTCTGGGGTTTTAGTTAGGCCAAGGGTTTGATCTCTACTGCAGTATATCAACCCAATCCAGTGTTCAACTATGCCCTTTTGTCCCCATTACATAAATAAAAGAGAAAAAGAAAATCTATCAACTGATATCTGAGACAACTTTGAAATCCAAAAGTTGGCTCTTTGCCCAGTCTCTGAGCAAATAGCTAGGTTTCCAGAGACTGAGTTATGTGACGCTGAATTTGAACCTCAGGGTTTCCTAAATGGCTTTTTACTTTAACAAATGCTGCTGAGAGTGGAAAATTAGATCTTTTCCTTCAAGAATCTGCACATAAAATTTGCAACATAATCTCTGTCTGGGTAGGCTATCCAATGATGATACATGGACTATTTCAGCTCAGAATGTTTTCCCTTAGTCCTTCTGAGACTTTCTGAATGCTTCATCTTAGACCAGAAGTAATTGCTGTTAATTCTACTCTTTCACTCGTGGAGTTTATTATTATTATTATTATTATTATTATTATTATTATTTTATGGTGCTGGGGATTGAACTCAGGGTCCAGTGCATGCGAGGCAAGAGCTCTGCTACTAAGCCATACCCCCAGATACTCTAGTTGTTAAACAGCAACAATAGCAACCACGACAAAAAAGACAGAGCTTAAATATATATGTAGTGACGACTATAATGCTCTGCTAACGTGTAATGATAGAATAACTAGTATTTTTTATTCATTAACTTGGGGTAGGAAATAGCTTTGACACCTCAAAACATTTCAGTTCCCCACTTAGAAATTCAAAGAACATAAACTAAAGGCCTTAGAAATAACATCCCGAGTAACATAACCAAGATCGCCAAACTGAGAGTATGAAAAAAGGAGCAGGAACTGTCAAAATTCTTGTTTTAAAAAGAAAACATTTCACTGGGTTTTAGAGCCCAATTAGAAAATGGAATTATAGTCTCCAAAATATCAAACTAAACTTTACAAAATTAAATATGCATAGGCCATCTTGAGGGGAAAAAAGTTAGGCTTCTTCCAATTTTTTAAAATTTGGCCTGTTAAAGTTCTAGTTAATGCTTGCAGCCAACAGTGGTGACCACTGGTGACCAGGCAATCTTAAAATAATCAATAATCAGAAAGGATTAATACCTAAATTGGCTGCATTGGTGCACACCTGTAATCTCAGCTATCTGGGAGGCTGAGGCAGGAAGATACTGTCTTTAACCAGCCTGGGCAATTTAGCCTGGAAGGAAGGAGCGTAGGGAGAAAGGGAGAAATGGAGAAAGGGAAGGAAGGAAAGAGAGAAGCAGAGAGGAGAGGATGGAGGAAGGGACAGCGAGAAGAAAGGAGAGGGGTAACATTTGTTGAACAATTGTTACACATTAACCACAATGATAAATATCTTTACATGATACTCTATTCCTTCAACAACCTTATAAGACTGAGCATTATTTTTATCATCATTGTATGGTTAACAAACTAAAGTTTAAAGAAGTAATAAACTTCCCAAAGTCAGAGTCAAGGATTCAACTACAGGTCTGTTGAACTTGTCAGTCCAGACTCTGAACTACCACACAGTCTACTCATACACTTATGGGGCTCAGTCTGTGTCCTATATTAGATAAGGCAAGGAGGAAGGGTATCAGGGCATGATGGAAAGAACACTGGATAAATAATTAAGAGCATCACATCCTAGTCTGAATTTGCCATCTCCAGATTTATAGCCTCGGATATACTATTAGACTTTAGGGTTTAAAAAAATATTTCAAATGACTTCTCATTTGTTAATGCAACTCTGTTTCAAAGTATTGTGTGTGAGATTAAATGGATGAGGTTTGTGCACGACCAATCAGAGGTTTGTGCACGATCAATCATGACAAAGCTGTAACAAGAAGCTGTCTCATGCCAACTATCTCACACACCCCTTCCCCTGTCACCTCAGAATCAATATTACTGTCACATACTTGAAGTTTTTAAACAGTGCTTTCTGTCATCTCCACTTGATGGGAGGGCCACACAGAATAGGTAAAATTTTATACATTCAGTAGTAATATGCTTACAACTCCTGCTTTTCACTGTGTTGTGAGGTTCTCAATGTTCCCAGGGGAGAAGACACAACACAGCCACATGTGTGACATCACGTACAATCATCTATTTTTCATTGTTTGACACTGTTGGATTCTGTACCAACTCCAGAGTTCCAAGTCCTACAACAGTTGTAAGTGTATTGTACCAGTTTGTTGACTGCACAGCAAAGCAATATAAACTGAGCATTTGCTTGTGCATGCTACTATCAGTATCTTCTAGCAGTAAGTGTGGCTTTTCACGGTGTTTTCTTGGTGTCACTTTCACATATTTATAACATCTTAGCACTATAGTATTTAGAAAACCTTTGCACATGTAAAAAGAAGCAAGGGCTAAAACAAAAAAGGTAAAGTAACATCTCTGATAACAGTCAAGATGTTACAGACTCAAATCCTTGAGAGCAGAGTTGGACCCTTACCAATTCATCTTCAATTCCTGGAACAGGGCCTGGCTCACAGTGGGCGCCCAAACATATGTGCCCAGTGAGTGAATGAAGATATGCACGGTATAATATTCCTAGCATCCCACCCAGCCAGTTCCTGAGGATGGCTTCTCATCCTGACCATCTTTTCGCTGGTCACGTGGTGTGGGTCACAACGTGTGCTCAAAAGCCCAGTGAATGTGCAGCTACAGCACATCTTATTCTCCCAACCTCACTTTTTGTTTTTGCATCGTCTGCTGGGTCTGTCAGTGTGACACAGGGCCAGGGACTCACACAGCCCGGCACACCACTTGCGAGGTTCTGTTACATGCATCCTGCCACACTTTTCCACATGTGTCAGCTTGACTGGGTGAGGCTGGATCAGAAGTGCGAGTGTGTGTGTGCCTGAGACTGAGAGAAAGTGATACAGACAGAGAGATAAAGACAGAGTGATAGAAGAGACTGAGAACCCACCCAGTGTGACACAGCTCCCCATCGCTCCATGCCACAGTGTCGCAGGGTCCCATCTACGGAACCAGTGTTTCCGAAAATCACAGTGGACCTCAAAACCACTGACCGCGCCCCCCGCCCGGCCCCGCGCCCCTCACCTGGTCAGGTCTCGCAGCCGCGCCTCCTCCCCCAGCAGGTAACTCCGCAGCAGCGCCAGCAGCCGGCGCTCGGGCGCCAAGGCGCGCGCCACGCTGGTCAGCGCCGAGAACTTATCTTCCCGCGCCGCAGCCCTGGCCAGGTCCCCGACCCAGAGAACCAGCACCGCCAGCAGCGCGCCCAGCCGCACGGCGCGGACCATCGCTGGCGATCCTTGGTCCCGCTCAGACTTCGCCCCCGCCGGCCATCCGAGCCGCCCCCAAGGCCCCGCCCCAACAAGCCCCGCCCAATCAGGGCGCGCCCCCATCAGACCCCGCCCCATCAGGCCCCGCCCCACCCTGCGGAGCAGACGTCTCGGCCTCTCCTCCCTGCCTTCCCGCGACTGGGCTCCCGGGTGCCCCTGGTGTGCGCCTGCCCTCCCTTAAAACGTGGCCTGGAGGTGCTTCCGCAGGGCACGTCGCACTCGGGGAAATTGAGGCAGGAGGAGGGTGGAGGCTGTACAACACCATCCCAAAATATTGACTGACACCCCCGGATCTTGATTGGAAATATAGACTCCCCTGGATCCTGAGGTAGAAATCGCCTGAGTAAATTCTGAGGTGTGGAGATAGCGGTGAGGGTGAAAAGGGAGAGCAGAGAGGAGGCAGTGCCTTCGCAGAGGGTGTAACCTCTGAGCAATCTCAAAGGATGCATAGTACCAGGACTTACAGAACTTAAACCGCAGAGCTCCTAGGTCACAGCTCCCTAGACCCTAGACCTAGAGGCACTGAACCCAAACAAAATGTTAGACCCTAATAGGGGTCTAAATGTATTCATTTCCTCCCTTTTATTCATTTCCTAGGCAATGTTCTTTTTATTTTCATACAACAAATGTTAGCATCTATGTTATCTTATGTCTGTGGACACAAGGGGAGACAGAAATACACACACACACACACACACACACACACACACACACACAGTGCTATCAAGGTGACTGAGGTCTATATGATGTGAGCAAAGCGGGCAGAAGACACTGATGTGTACTAAGGTGTGGAGGTGGAAAATAGTTTGGGTTCCAAAAATTAGAGTTCCTTGTGGTTGGGACCAACAGGTTGTGACAGTCACATTAAGAAATGTAGGCATCTGTCCTCTGTGGAAAACCGATGAAGGTTTAAAAGTGGCAGCAATAGTAATAATAACAGCAAATTTAAAAAATGCTACGGAGTGCTTCCTGTGTGGCAGATGATGTCTCAAGCATTTTTACATATATTAGCTCACTCCATCTTTATGCCGAGCCCATGGCACAGACAATATAACGTTAACTCTGTTATACAGTTAGAAGATTAAGAAGCAGAAAAGCTAAATAATTGATAAATAAATAACAATATTCATAGGTGTCTTCGTTAACCAGATCTATAGAAAAAAAAAGTCCTGATTTGTGGTATTAGCCAATTTCTGTGGTGTAAATTCTTCCACAGTGACCAATTTCAGCATGTTTAAATATTACCATAGAACGTGGTTGGATAGAGACGCTAACAGTCAGTCCTTGTGAGCCGGTGTGAGGCAGCCCTGGCTCACTACTGCTGTGGTAGACCTGGAGATGCGCCCCTCAGAGCATGCCTTCAGGAAAGGAGTTATTGCACAGCTGCAGAGAATGTGGTCAGAGAGCTCTTCAGCTCCAACAGGGTTTGCTTTGCTGCAGGAAGAGACCTCACCTAAGGTTATTTCCTTGCTTGGGGAACTCAAATCCAGTAACAGAGCGAAGTGACAGCCTACTGTGAGACAGCTCCAATAGGCAGTACCAGTAACTCCAGCGCTCTTCCCATCTTGCTCAGACATTTTTGGGGCCTCATTGACTTCCTCTTTTGCTTTTTCTTGCTTTTTCTCCCTTTCACAGATGTTGATCCCTAAAAAACATCTTGTACCTAATGCTTGATATCAGCATCTAGTCTCTAACATCTACGCAGTCAATATGCTTGGCTAATATGTAGTAGACCAGGGAACTAAATCCAAGTAGTCTAGGTCCACATTTTATATTCTTAATCACTACCAATAGTAGGCTTAGCATGACATATTTGAAATATAAACTTATACAAACCCTTTCCAAGACCTTTTTTAGGATAAATGCAAAGGGAATCTTGGCAGTGTGTTTCTGGTTACATGTGTTTGTAAAATTTGCAAAAGAAAGCTATTTTAACCATAGTTGGTTAAATTGTCTCTTCACTCTGATTTCCTCTGTCACACTTTCCCTAACATTTCCCATTAGGGTGTGAACACTGGAATGACCATGGGCTTGTGTTTGCAGATGAGTAGCCTGCACATGGAACAGTGGTGTTACAGTTGTGTTTTTAAGACAAAAATTGTAGTGTTGGCACTTTGTGATATATAAGTGGGTTTTGGGGTTACAGCTTGGGCATTGTCTCTAACAACAAAGACCACCCACAGGACTTGAACATGTTAAAAATCTCTTTCCCAAAGACTAAGTGCCAAGTCAGAAAATTTCTAGGGGCTTTGGGCTACTGCTGGTTGTGGATCCTGGGTTTTGACAACATGACTCAACCATTCTACATCTCTACTGGAGGGGACCCATTGGACTTTAACCTGAACTGAGCTAGAGAAACAAGCTCTCTCTGAACCTTCACAAAAGGAGTCTTAGAGCTGGGAATTTAGTTCCGCGGTGTTAGCGCCTGCCTCCCAAGCATGAGGCCATGAGTTTGATCCCCCAGGTACCAAAAAAAAAAAAAAAAGAAAAGAAAGAAAAGAAAAAGAGAAAAGGTCTTAACTCAGTACCTAGGACCCTGGAAGAGGCCTGTCACCTATCTTTCCTGGCGACTAGTCCCCACAGCTACAGGGTGGCCAAATTGCCTATGGACAATTGCAGCCACCACAAGCAAGAAAGCCTCTAAGTTGACTCCCTCCCCACCCCCGGTACTGGGGATAGAACTCACAACATCACACTTGCCAAGCAGGTGCTTGTGCCGCTGAGCTAAATCCCCAGCCCTAAGTTGACTTTTGCCCAGAGACTCCAGATAGTGGCCTCACATGCTATGGAGACACTATTTACAGTCGCCTCCCAATAGATGGCTTTCTAGCACTTGCATTGTCCAGTACCAAGCTCTTCTACCGGATCCTGACTACACTGAGTTCCTGTCCACCTCTGCCCTCAATTCAGTGACTCTCCTGCCAGATGATGATCCCTCAATGCCAATATGTAACTGTATGGACATTATTGACTTGGTCTCAAGCCTGCGAGCTGACCTGACTGATACCCTGCTTGCCCAGCCTGAAGCCATCCTTTTCACAGATGGTAGTAGTTACTTCCACCAAGGTACTCAAGTGGCAGGAGCTGGGTGACCTCCTATAACTGAGGTTATATAGGCCCGAGATCTAGGGTCAGGAACTTTTCAGCTCAGCAGACAGAACTGATAATCCTTAAATATATACAGATAGTCCATATGCTTTTGCTACCGTCCATGTTCATGGAGCCATTTATCAGGAAAGAGGACTATTAACCTTTGCAGGAACAAAGATCAAGAATGCCCCTGAGATCTTAGACCTCCTGGCTGCCATTTGGTTGCCCCAAAGGGTTGCCAATATGTACTTTTTGTGGCACCAACAAGAGGACACCCCAATTGCTCATGGAAATGCTCTCACTGATAAGACTGCCAAAGAGGTAGCATAAAACCAGTGGGGCCTATAATGCATCTCCCAGCTCTCCCACCACCTGTGCTACCTAAGCCATCCTATTCAGATTCAGACTCGAGACTAGCCAAGAGCCTAGAAGCCCAACTTTCTCCAGAAGGCTGGCAGACCTTACTGGATGGGTGAATTTTCATCCCAGAAGCATTAGGCCCCCAGCACATCCAGGAGCCCCAGTGGGCCATTCACTTAGGAGGAACCAAATTAGCTGAGTTACATTACTCATCCCCAAATTATCTCACCTGACTAAAGAGATCAGCCAAAAATGCCCACAATGTCTTCAAGTGAACCCTAAGCTGGCTCCCACAGATGTTTGAAAGAGACAATGAGGACTTACCCCTAGAAACTACTGGGAGATGGACTTTGCTAAAATGGGCCCAAGAAGAGGGGGCATAAATGACTCTTAGTTCTCGTAGACACATTCACTGGGTGGACTGAAGGATTCACCACTCAGACTGAATCAGCTCTCATCATAGCTAAAAACTCCTCTATGAGATAGCGCCTTAATTTGGTTTGCCCACCTCCTGAGGTCTAACAATGGCCCAGCTTTCATGGCTCACATCACTCAAAATTTAGCTGCAGCTTTAGAAATCAACTGGCAATTACATTGTGCCTATTGACCTCAAAGTTCAAGCCAAGTAGAGAGAATAAACAGAACCACAAAGGAAACTATTTCAAAACTGGCTCTTGAGACTGGCAGAAACTGAGTAAGTCTCCTTCCTTTTGCCGTTTTGTATGCACGATGTACTCCCTACCTCCAGGACACTAGTCCTTTTGAAGCCATGGATGGCCAACTGCCCCGTTAAGTCCCCCATGTCCAAGATGATAAGTTGGCTTCTGTCACTAATGGAGAACTTGTTAAATCCTTATAGGCTCTCCAGCCCTTTCTGCACTTGATCCACCACTTGTTCTGGGACCACTAGACTGTTTTCAAAAGGCCTGATGACCCCCTAGCAGCCCAACCTGGCAATCAAATCTACATCAACCGAAAGGACCCTATCCCACAGCCATCAAGGTCACCAGAAAGAGCCATTGGATTCATCACTCCCACTTCAAGCCCATAAGACAGAAGACAGAGAATATCACTGTGGAGGGTTAAGGGAGCCCCAAATTGACTCAAACTCCCAGATTTATTGAGGAACCACAAAGGCATAGAGTTCTACTGAGAACAGATGTTTCTTTTAAGTAGCAAGGCAGGAAAGCAAGGCATGGTGACAGTTTGGCTGAATAGCTAACTTTTATCTGATTTCTTTGTAAGATCCATCTCTGCTCCAGTTGGCAAAATACCCCATGTTCAAAATATTCCAGCTCCTTGGGTTAGCAGCCATCCCCCCATCAATATAATTGGCCCATTGGGTATTTCAAGAAACTTCAAAAGGACTATAAACTCTACAAACTGTGAGCTAAAATAAGTCTTCCTCCTTTAACTTGCAGGAATCAGGTATTTTGTCCTAGCAACAAGGAAATAACTAAGACACCTCATCATCAGTCTCCTAGCAGCCCTACTACATTGCACTAATAACTTTCAAGATTTTTACATGGCACCTAGATGCAAAGTTAATAATGCATA